ATTGCAATTGCAAAAAGGATTATATTTTTCATTTCTTTTTCTGTAGTTTTGTTGTTAATATACAAGGAGGCAATAGATTGTTGTCTATTGATTTTGTATTCTGCAGCTTTACTGTATTTGTTTATTATTTCTAAGAGGTTTTGGGCAGTCTTTAGGGTTTTCAATACACAGAATCATGTAGTCCACAAAAAGTGACAGTTTTACTTGACTATTTGGGTGCCTTTTATTTCTTTCTCTTGCCTTATTGCTCTGGCTAGGACTTCCAGAACTATATGAATAAGAGTAGTGAGAGTTGACATCCTTGTCTTGTTCCTGATCTTAGAGGAAAAGCTTTCAGTTTTTCACCATTGAGTGTGATATTAGCTGAGGGTTTATTACATATGGCCTTTATGGATTTAAAGATAGATAAGGAACTAAATCCTACTCTGCCTTTCTGCTCTACTCCAGAAGTGTCTATTTTGATTTTTTTTTTTTTTTTTGCATTTGACTATACTTTCTTTTCTTTGTTTGGTTGCTGCGGTTGATTTTCATATATCTGTGTGCATGCACTGAGACTTTTTATTTTATTAGGTATTGGGGGAGGGACTTTTTATTTTATTAGATATTGGGGTATTAGTTATGTGTTAGAATCCATTATCTTTTCAGTTCAATGTGCAGAAAGGTTCCCTTATAGAACATCTATTAAAAAGAAACTCAATAAATGCATTTCTAAAGTAATTTACTCTAACTTTTCAGTGTGCATTAAAGTATACACAGAAATAGCTCTCCTGCATGATAGAAACATTTTTTTTAGTCTTTTAAAATATCTACATATTTTATCTCAAATACTGATAGGGCCTAGTAGAAAAGATTATTTAAGAGAAAATATCTCCCAAATGTCTGTCAGTATGTAGTGTTAGGAACTGGATAAGTTTCTTTATATAGTGATTATTTCTGTCATCATATAACACATGAGTTACCATTTTTATCTTGTTTTTCTTAGCATGTTTTCATTTCCTTCAATGCTCAAATTGAAAATTGGACAAAGAAAGATGTTCCTAAATTACATATGTATAGATGTATATTTTTCTATCTATGTATGTATGTGACATTTTAAATATATATATTCCATATGATCATATAGTTTACATAGAAGCATATAGAAATACACACACACACACGCACACACACACACAGTTGTTGCAGAGCTGCCAATAACTACTGAAGGCTATTGATAGCACACAATCAAGTTTCCAAAGATTTGGCAATAACATCAGTATGTACATAGAATGAGGACCTTGAGATGATCCTCCTGAAATTTTTATCACTGGTTTGCGTCTCACAACATCATTCTCCCAATTTGGTCCTAGGCTCCACAATTAAAGAGAGAAAGAAAATGAAAGCTCAGTGTGGACTTAGAATGAAATAAACCCTGAGTACAGAAAGAGCTGGAACTGAGGAAGGCTAAGAGGACTATTTATCTAGATAAAGACAATTGTGAGGAGAGACCTGAAATAGTTTTGAAGCATATATAAAAGAGTGGAAAATAAAGGTTGACAATCAGATATTCTTCATCCCCGTAGCGCATAGACAAGAATTTTTAGATAGGAGGAAAACTATTTTGGCATATTGTACTCAAAATAAGAAGTATCAATGGGGTGTAGAAAATAAAATCAAAAGATCTATTTTTTTATTTTTCTAAGATGATTAAAATATCATCTTTGCCAAATGTATAGCAGAAGAGCTTATAGTTTAATGCTTCTATATGCTATTATTGTGATTAGTGTTAATTATAGGGAGAAAGTGCACCCTTATGTCTTTCATGTATTCCCCACTTGGCTTTCCCACAGCTATTACTCATTTGAAGCCAGGAAATGACTGAACGCCAAGGGTTTGGCCTATGGAGACTGATCCCTACCCATGCTTGTTTATCTAATAAATATTTACTAGCACCTATTCCCTGTTTGGCCTTGGGGACTCAGGGATAGATAAGGCGGTCCCTGTCCTTAAGAAGTTAATAGTTTAGTGAATTCTCATTCAGATGGCTGCCACAATGGGATGAATTGCTGTCCAGTCACCCACTTTTCTGTCATGTAGTTTTCAGTAATAATATATTTGCCACTTAGGCTTACCAATATGTCAGGACAAAAGTAGTGCACATTCTGGCAGGTATTAACAGGACCCAAACAATCTCTCTCGCTCTGGAAACAATCATTTTCAGACTACATCAAAGCACTTCTTGAAATAGAAAATGCTAAGAATAAAATCCATAGCTTAAAAGACCATTTTTTCCCCAGAACAATGGCAGCGCCAGTCAATGTTAGTGGAACAACAATCAAGTGTACTTTTATTTCCGATGTGGAACACATTCCAGTCACTTAAGGGCAGAACCCAACTTCACCCAACCTAATTTTTTTAGGAAAGTACAGACAGATATGTGTAAGAGACCATTTAAATAGAGCATGAATGCAAATCTCAGCAACCAAGCCTATGGGGGAGGACAGGTGTGTAGATAGGAAAGAGAAAACTAGAAAGAAATATTCATCAGATTTCAAGTCATTTGTTACATAAGAATAAGCCTGGAGATAAGTGTTGGATTGGGCGCCTGGTTAAGAAAAGAAGGATTATGCATTTAGTGATCAAGTTAGCTGAAAGAAAGTTACTTTGGTAACAAAAGTTGGGGCAGGAAGAACTGAAACTATGAAGTGAAAGAAAAATTTCTAAACTGTACGTTGAGCAGTCCATTAGAAACATGATTCCATAAAACTAGGATTTGGTTGAGGTACATTTAACATGGAAGCCTGAATTGATATATGGAATATTTTCCATCCTGTGATATGCTATCTCTGAATTTACACTCAATACCAGATTGCTTTCTCTGTAGTAATGTGAATATAATTACATGTGAAACCATGGCTCCTTAAAATGAAACTATCTTTTGATACAATTGTGACACAGAATTTAAAAGTACCCATTTGTTTTGGATATAGAGGTAGCCCATTGGTTGGCAAACATATTTTAGGCATTTGGTGTGGTCACTCCTTCAGATATTTGCATTCAAGAGAATATTAATAGGCTTATGTCCACTCTTTCAACAACAAAGAAACTAACTCCAAAGGGCCCGGAGAGGTGGAGAAAGGTGCTATGCTCCAGAGAAAGGAGCTGGCCTTCCACTGTTCTCAAGGTAGACAAGCAGCCACTCAAGGATCATACACTTTTTATATTCCTCCTAACAAAATCTCACCAATTTGTTCTTTTCCTTGATTCTTTATCATCCACCACAGCGATTTGTGCTACCTATTGCTCATTTAAACGATCTGCTTAACTTGAAACATAACTTTGCAATTTCAAAGAGCTATAGTAAGCCTTTAGAATGTATAGAATCTTCAAAAGTCAAAGTAATATAGAGAGTATTAATTATGTGTGTGTGTGAAAGAGAGAGAAATGTCGATGTGAGATACATCAACTGGATGCCTCCCCTGCGTGTCCCAACCAGGGATTGAACCCTAAACCTAGGTATGTGCCCTGACTGGGAATCAAACCAGAAACTTTTCAGTGTAGGGATGACACTCCAACCAACTGAGCCACACCGGCCAGGTATTTCTGATGTTTATTTGAATCTTTGTCAGTGAATTTGGCATTATAAAAAGTCTCTTACTAATATTATTAACATTTATAAATAAATAATTTTAGCCCAGTATACAATCAGGACACATACTCTTTAGAAAAGTTCTCGGACATCATTTTTTTCATGTCTTTAGTTTGGGAATATTAATGCCTCCCTGCCGAGTCATCTAAATCAATTTTCCACTGTGAAAGATTAAAGAACTTTGAAAGTTGTTTAGTACTAGAGGTCCAAATATTTAGTTAAATATCGGAAAAATAAGACAGGGCAGGAGGGAGGGAGGAATTGTGATTAAGTAGAAAAACCAGAACTTAAACCCTGGGAGCTTGCTACTAACTCTCCCGTCAAAGATTATACATTCACTTGACATCACAGGGGTTTTGCTGATGATGGTTGAAAAGAGCGAAATATGGTGGTTACTCAAAGGAGCAAAAATTGGCATTCCTTGCTCGTTAAGCATAACAACACAGAGGAAAAAATACAATCTAACTTTAACCACGGTTACTAAAAATGCATATCTCTGTCTTAAGTAAAAAGGAGATCAGGGCCGTTGCCTCAGTGTCAACTTAACCTGGGTCTCAGGCAATATTCGTATTCAAATCTGACATCACTTTAAGATTCCCTGCGGAAGAAGATGAACATTACTTTTTAAAATGTTCCTCTCCTGGGCAGGATGTTGAGGGACCAAGCCTGGGAGGTCCATGAGCAAAGGTGTGTTATATTATGTTTGTAATTTTCTTTCAATTGCAAATTTCCACTATAGAATTATAGTAGTATGGTAATTAAGACATTAAATCAAACTAGTATATCACAAACCATGCTGAGGAAATGATAAAACAAATTGCTAGGACAATAGGAATATGTCCACTGTGAAGACTGCAGTCATTTTTCGTACCCTATTACCACAGCCAGTTTCAACAGGGAATGAGTCTATCCCATTAACTAAATCCTACTGAAGCTCTAGAATTATAGGAACACTAAGCTTTCTTATTTTATACTCAAGGTTGTCTCAGTCCTATCAGTGTGTCTTTATTTGCCTTATCAGCATAGTTTTCATAGCTTTATGTACTTTTTCCGTGTAGGTCAATTGGATACAAATACTTGGATATTCAGAATGTTTTTTCTATGTAATATTTTTTCCAAACGTGTTTTTCTCTCTCTCTTTTCTTGTGGCAAAACACCATTAGCTGAAACTGTTGAACTGCCTTTGGCAGGAGGGGTGGGCGATGGGAATAGATGTGCTCTACAGTAGTTCTTGTGTAACGAACTAAGGGTTTAGGGGAATTATTTGCATTACAAATATGTTCTACCCCAGAGCAGTGTTTCTCACTCAGTAAAAACCTTAGCACACAGATTCACATCTCCACCCACTCACTTTTGTTTTCTGTCTTTGCAGTTCCGCCATGGTTTTTAAACCATCCTTCCAACCTCTATGCCTATGAAAGCATGGACGTTGAGTTTGAGTGTGCGGTCTCTGGAAAGCCTGTGCCCACTGTGAACTGGATGAAGAATGGAGATGTGGTCATTCCTAGTGATTATTTTCAGATAGTGGTAATTACCTTTTCTCATATTAGCTTGACAACCCATTCATTGTTCACTGTGTTTTCAGTTGTTTTCCTGTCCTGGGAAGAAGGTTCCTGTTGGGCATTTTTATGATGTGTTTAAAAAAAAAATTGTCCTAATAAAACAAATGAATCTAGACTTGGAATTTTTGAGCTGAAAAAAGAGTGATCACCTTGCCGGGCGTGGCTCAGCTGCTGAGCATCAACCTAGGATCCAGGAGATCGAAGTTCGATTCCCTGTCAGGGCACATGCCTGGGTTACGGGCTCGATCTCCAGTCGGGGGCATGCAGGATGCAGCCGATCTCTCATCATTGATGTTTCTATCTCTCTCTCCCTCTCCCTTCCTCTCTCTGAAATCAATAAAGATATATTTAAAATTTTTTAAAAAAAGAGTAATCAAGCAGCCTAGCCCTCCTGCTGCTTTAATACACAAGGTTTTAAACAAACAAACAAACAAACAAATGAAGCAAAAACAGAGGGCCTAAGACTTATTTCCAAGTATTCTCATTGCTGCTGCTTGTGAAAAAAAAAGTTTAGAACTTCGTTCTAGACTATATGAAGCCAGGAATCTGTTACTCCTGTGATTTTCACTCATTATAATACATTTTCAGCAAGATGTGCTACTCATGATTGTGGTAGTCTTACTCTGATGATCCAGACAGCTTTCCTTCCAGATAGGACCAGCCGATCTTACATGAGAGTAGACGGGGCAGTGGAGATGGTGACAGTGATGGTGGCAGTGCCATGGTAGAGGAGCCGGAGTTGACATTGCTTTGTAATTTTGAACATTGCAAAGAATGAAAGCTAGGAACAGTAGTTCTCATTTACTATAAGTTTCGGTACATTCTCTGTTCCTATCCTCATGGGAGAAAATAGGGGTAATGTTACCATAGTCACTCAGTTGTTCCGGTATATAGTGGCTGCTCAATACCCATCATTACCATTGTTCTTTTGGATGTTACCAGCAGAATTCTTTGCTCATTTGAAAACGCTCTATGAAAACTCTCCTTGAGGTGTGTGTAGGTTAGCCTTGGAGGTTCTGAATTCACTATATGAACATAGGAGATATATGAAAAGCATTTTCCAAAAATTAAAGAACTTTTGCAGCTAAAGAAAGAAATTTTAGGTTCACATCTCATGTTTGAGATGCAGGCATGACCCTGTCAAAGAAGAGTGGTCTTCTAAGCCAGGTGTCCCCATAGAGAGAGACTAGAAAATAGATGTGTTGCAAGGATGGGCACAAACCTTCTCCATGGCCTTACACCCACTCTCAATGCTGGGCTCCTCTTCCATGATCAGTCAACTCTCAGGAACTCCCATAACCTCTTTGTTGCATGCATGATGCCATCCTATAAGAGTCCTTAAGGAATAAATCCATAAAACATTTCCATCACTTTTATCACCACTTATTTTTTTCACTTTTAGTTGCATTTGTTTAATTGGTTAGGGATAGAGTAAGAAAGGGGAAAATTTAAACTTTTGAATGCCACACCAATCCATTAGTTCCTTTAAGTGCAGAGCTATTTCTACTACCACTGAATTAAAAATGACCTGCCAAGGGGCAACTTGTTGTATATGCCTAAAATATATGCTACTTGCACATAAAAGAAATTACTGAGTGCCCTTAAGGACTCATGATAAAATGCAACATTTATATTTTTCTACAGTTTGAATAATAATCTTTCTCCCAGAATGACTCATTACAGCCAACCCATTTAAGTGTTTCTTTTCTTAAGGTGAAAAGAAAATGAATGGTAGGAGCCCCATTCACATGAAATTGTGCTTGAAAGTATTTCCCCAATCGCTCCAGAAATCAGAGAGCTGGTGTCTGTTGCATACGTAACATTTAGCACAAATAGTAATTTATATGAGAATTTTTAATTAGAACTTAGTCAGCTTTATCTAAGAATTTTACATCAGCTGAGAATTGACTACAAGACACTAAAAACAATTAAGAATTCCCCATGAGGCAATATTTATCTCTTAATGACTTCAGGGAAAGTGATTTAACACGTCTCACTTACTGAACTAATTCTTACACTAATATGGAAGATAAACTGAGTTAGTATAATTAAATGTTATCTTCAGATCATTTTATCATCCATCCTTGGAAAAGATCGTGGCTCAACTTATTTAAAATAAATTGATAACGTTGCTGAATTTATTTTATTGATTACTGAAGGTGAAACATTTTGGACATATAACAAGATGCAGTGGGTAAAAATATTCACCATACACACCCCCTAAAAAAAAATTCTGAAAAGGGTACATGTCAAAGCAATTAAAATTTAAAATGGGTTTTCAGACATTTTTTTCTCAATCAGCAATCCTAGAAAATATCTAACCTAGATTTCTTGTCCTTTAGAAGCTGCAAAGATGGATGTTTCTGTTTCTTTCTGTGTCTTTTCTTCCAGCAGCTGCTGAACCTGAGCCTCTTCAATGACAAATCAAAGAATGAGATTTCTTTTGTTGCTGACATTTGTGTCTTCCATACCTAAGAGAAGAGTTTTCTGTTTGCTGCTCTTTTGGATGTGGGGATGTCATGCATATTGGAGAGTATATTTTTTTATGGTAGAACTAGGTTGATTGGATGCCCTTGGATTCAGCACAATATTGGGAATCTATGGCTTTCTCAGTGTCCTTGTGACACAGGACATATCTGGGCTGGGCATGCTCACGGCCTCCTTTCTTGTTTCTTCTGTGCAATTTTACTAAAATTAACTTATGTTCATTTTGTCACTTTGAGTTAGTTTTTTTTGCTTTTTAAAATATTTCACTTTACTTTTTCTTCTCTCTAGGGAGGAAGCAACTTACGTATCCTTGGAGTGGTAAAGTCGGATGAAGGCTTTTATCAGTGTGTGGCTGAAAATGAGGCTGGAAATGCCCAGACGAGTGTACAGCTTATTGTCCCGAAGCCTGGTAAGAGGAAGGGGGCATTGCTCTGCTGCCTGTAGTCACAGTTATTCATGGTCTGTTTGTAAAATCTATATCCTTTCCCCTATCTCTCAAAGCCAATTTGAAATTAATTAATTACTTAGTTAATCAATTATACATTTGTGTATTGATGGCATATTTTCTAACAAATTATATATATATATAAATTTATCTATATATACATCCATCTAGCAAGATATAGTCTTCATCATGGATAATAGGTACCTCTGGTTGTAAGACAACAACCACTAAATGACTACCTTCTCCCTTCCCATATATGAGCATATATATGTATACACATATGTATACACTGATCTTGAATCAGTGGAAGTTGGTAGAAAAATGGAAATCATCTCTTGAACATAAAACTATTTTTCTCTTTTTTAAAACAGATTTTGATAAATTGTCCTTTTTTCTCTAATAAAATTTTAATTTTATTTTGTTCTCTAGTCTTTTGGAGGTTTAATATAGTGGTGTATCCAAAACTAGTATAAATTATATTAGACACATAATGTAATATCTCTGTAACAACACAATTCCTATCAGGAAAAAAAACCAAAAAGATAAAAAACAAACTGGTTAGCTGCTTTAAAATGTTGTAACACTAAAGACGGTAAAAATATTTATTCCTTTTTTAAAAGCAGTATTAATACCTTCTATGAAAAGTTTTATATCATCTATTGATTATGGTAATTTCAAATCTTTTGACAATTTTTTTTTCCTCTTGACATGACTCACTTTTGTGTTAATCTTTCCCTGCAGTAAGTTTAGTAGAAAGTAGCTGAAATTTATGAGACATAGTCTTTCCTTTATCACTTAAGTGGCTACCAAGGCATTATATTTTGTGCATCTCTAATCAATGATCTGAAGACTCAGGCTCTGGTAATGCTTACAAGGATAACTTTTTCTTTTTTTCCTTATTAAAACAAAAAGCAACAGTCCCAGGTGAGTAAAGGCACTATCTAGGAATGGAAAGGGGTAATTAACTTCTGTTCGAGATCACCGATTTCTCTCATAGACTACTTCTCTCTCCACTTAATGTGCTTTAAGCATTAGGGTAACTTCATTTGTGCGACTCAGGACTTTCTCTTCTGCTGAAACAGTAATGGATAAGTAGGAGAAAAGGAATCTTTAAACTCAAGGTTTCTAATCTGAGCCATAGTTTAAAACCTGTGTGTAGTCTCATTAGCAGTGAGGGTAGGGCCACAGCGATGCCAACGCTGGCTGCCACTCAAGTCACAGAACAAGAGAATTCTAGTTACCATTGATGTTCAGCTGGGGCCATAAAGCTGAGGAAAATGCAAGGTAAGTAATCCTATATTTCCAAAGAGAAGTATGAGATACATTCTTTTAGGATTTGTTGGACTGACCAAAGAGTCCCAGTGATCATCTTATAGTCAACTGCCCATAAGGATGGAGGATTCTCTGAATCCATAGGACTAGAGATTGTCATGGTATTTGCCCCCCAAGCCAAGGTGTAGAGACAGTAAGAAAACTCCTTGAACAGATTGTGTGTGTGCATGTGTCTCAAGTTGCTATCAGAGGTAAGAAATTGATCTGACAGGGTGTCTTTGAAAGTGGATGCTAGGAGAAAATAAAACTGTTTCCTTATAATATTCCAGTAGTTCAGCTTATTCAATAAGCCAATTATAGATATTTAAGGTCACTTACACCCTACCAGCAGGCAGCCCTTTATTATCAGCATCTTGCACTCCACTAGGACCCTGGTACATTTGGTCCATGTGACTATAAAAGAGCGAGGCTCCCCTGGGCAGAAGCATCATTTACTTCCTTGATAGGGTAAGCCTCAGAGAATCCCAACAATTCATTCTTTTCCCATCTAGATGGTAAAGTGTTGTCAGTAGATTCTACACTCTTGGTTGGTGTTTATTATATTTGGCATTGGATTAGAATGAAAGTAAAAGAAAATAAAAACAAAAATCCAGAAGCCTGACAGGACACAATGGTGACCGTCTCATGTGCCCCCTTGTAAATGATGGACTGCTTTTTCCTGGCTTATTCAATCAGGTCTTCAAATAATGCCTCCCCAGTCCCTCAGAGATGCAGTGTGGGCTGTGTGCACAGACGGTGGGGAAGCCAGCTACCGTGTAAATTCAGCACCAAGGCTGGCCATGCTGGGAAGGACATAGCCCTCTCTGTTTAGGTTTTAACAATAAACAGCCACCATGTATTTTGAGGCACACTGTGGACCCACATTGCCCAGCTGTTCGGCTCTGGCCTGTCCACAGGCTTGCAGCTGAGTTACTCTGGGCATCTGTCACGGTCTGCTTCTCTCTGAAGCACACACCACGACCTCTTGGAACCAGGGTCTGTTAGTGGGATATTTACATAAGCCTAACGATGTTTCAACATAGTGCTTTATATATAGTTAGCTATTCTCTCTTTAGCAATTAGTGATTTAGGAACTAAACATTATCTACTAAATTAAATTAAGTTAATGACTTATTTTTTCTCTTCAGAAAATTAGTTTGGGGAAAATATTGAAATGTGTGCACTATAGCATGTGAGATATATAACTGGTTCCTCTGGATAAAGAAAAAGATGCTCAGTGGCATATAAAAATATTATACTATAGAAAGTTCTATCAATAATGTGTGTATCTAACACTGTGACACCATATACAGTTTCAAACTGCCTCCTATCTCTCTATGCCTAACACATACCCACCTGCACACACAGACAACGGCCTCCTGAACACTTAAGACTTTGTATGTACATCAAAAAATACTCAGCTATATTAGGTAAGGGGTGATGAATGCAAGTTAAAATAGCTTAAGTGCTTTATATCACTTGCATTGTCTATTAATCTCATCTAATAACGGAGAAAAGCTTTATTGTTGTTTGTTTTATTTAATCTATTTATTTTTGTGCAGGGGGCCGTTGATTAAGATGTCCCCTTTCCAAATAAAGGAGACTAGCTGTAGCTCCAAGTCCACCATTCAGTGAATAGCCCAGCTAAAAAGTGTCAAGAATCAATGGGTTAGTTGTCATAAGAATAAGAAATTTCAGTAGCCAGGTTTCCAAGCCAAGTAAGCAATAAATTAGAATCTAGTTGGCACAGTAGATGCTAATGAATTAATTACCCTGAGTCACCATCCAGTAAACCAGATTTGGGGCAGGCGGTAATTAAATTAAGAAGACTCAGGTAGTTGGGGGAAAATTTTAACAGTTTTCCGGTACTGAGGAGCAGGAGTGTAAGTAGCAAGGCAGAAAAGATCAGTAGATATTAGGTTTAAGTTATCTCTGAGTTAGCTCTCCTGGTTCTACTGCTGAATAGCATTCAGGCTCCTGGCAGTGGTCTGCTATGGAAGGTAATCAGAAATACCTAACTGTTGGGCAGGGCAGTTCAGGGACAGGGAGCTGGGAAAGCAGCTATGATTGAGGCATAAGTAGTCTGGAATATTTTTAATTTAATGACAGAAATGGGTGAAGATAGACTAAAGTTATTATGGAAAAAAATAATATATTATTCATATCTACTTTGCACAAAAGGATATATGATTGCAAATTAAGAGATTCTATTATAAATATTTCCTAAATGTAGCTTTGTTTGGGCAAGATACCATATCATGCTTTTGATAGAATAAATATGGGGTATGTGCCTTATGTTAATATTGAATATTTTCTAATGCTGGTTTTGTTCATTTCCTTCATCATTGTAACAAAGTAGAGTTTCCCGTGGAAATATACTGGTTAGGCATTTAGAAAAATCTGAGTTGTGCTTCCCGGGAAAACATCACTGATTAAGCCTGGCTGGCCTGGCTCAGAGGTTGAGCATCAACATATGATCCAGGGAGATCAGGGTTCAGTTCCTGATCAGGGCACATACCTGGGTTGTGGGCTCGATCCCCAGCAGGGGGTGTGCAAGAGGCAGCTGATCAATGACTCTCTCCCATCATTGATGTTTTTATCTCTCCCTCTCCTTTCCTCTCTCTGAAATCAATAAAATCATATTTTAAAAAAATTACTGATTAAATACGATGTTGAATTTTACACATTTTATTAAGGCAGTATATCATAGAACCTAAAATTAGCAAGTGTATTTAAGTCTGGTCATGAACATTAAGGCATAAAATCAGAAGTCATTTGCATCTATTTTTGTAATGTGTTCCCTATCCATGTAAGAAGAATTCCTTGAAATCCAGATGGACAAGGGGAGTATTTGTATGCACACCCATATAACTGAATTAGCTGTAACTAATTATAGTGTTTCTTACTCAAATGTTGACTTTGAACATGGTAACTTTTGTGGAATTGTGTGAATCAATGAAAAATTGTATGATTAGTCTTATCACTTCAAGATATGTTAGAATTTAATTTATCAGTCTAATAGCACATAAGCAACTATAAAAGATAATGTAACTAAAGCTAAAGGGATGTACTTCTTAATCTGGCCTCAGTCACTGGTGGCCAATTAAGTTGAATTTTTATCTCTTAATAGGAGAAGGATTACTATGATTTAAATGCTCAGTTGTATTTGTTGTGGGATCCAGTTGTTCCTGGGGTTCTGTAAATAATTAAGAAGAGTCATTTCCATGTACTAGACCAGTATACGGATGACCCAAACTAAAAAATCAGCCATTAGACAGTCTCACACAAACTGAGATGTTCATTCAAACTACATAAATTATCTTTAGAGTTCCATCATTGAGTCTAAAATGAACAAGAATCCAGCTTAGTGTTTTTGAAACATAATTCCAGCGTGGGGATATTTTAGCTATAAATTTTTCAAGAACGTTTTCCCTTACAGGCCTTACTGATTAACTATAGCTAACAGGATACAGAACCAATTTCTGTAAGGTGGTCATTAAGTTCAGTATATATGGCTATGAATTTATTCAATCCACTGAAAAATTATTTTTGCTTGTCAAGGTTAAGATAAAAGTAAGAAAGATAATCTATGATCTTTAATTTTCAACCTCAGTCTCCTTTCCTTTAGAGAACTGTTGACACTCAAAGTAGCT